CCCTAAACCCTAAAACCCTAAACCCGAAACCCTGAAACCCTAAAAACCCTTAACCCTAGAACCCTAAAAACCTTAAACCCTAAACCCTAAACCCTGAACACTGAACCCTGAACCCTAAACCCTAAACCCTAAACCCCAAACCCTATAAACCCTAAACCCCAAACCCTATAAACCCTAAACCCTTAACCCTATAAACCCTGAAACCCTAAAAACCCTTAACCCTAGAACCCTAAACCCTAAAAGCCCTAAACCCCTGAACCCTGAACCCTAAACCCTAAACCCTAGAAACCCTTAACCCTATAAACCCTTAAACCCCCGGAGCCTCCAGGCGCAAAGGGGGCTCTGCCTCGCCTGCCGCCTGCAGCCAGGCCTCCGGGGAGGGGTGGCTGAGATGCAGGGTCTCAAGGGTTTTTGGGGTTTATAAAAAGGGGTTCTGAAGAATTAGACAGGTTTAAGGGCTCCTTTTAAGGGTTCCAAGCGTTTCTTCAAATTCCATGAGGGGTTGAACGGGGTTCTTTAAGAGTCCTGCGGCAAGGCTAAAACCGAGACCGGAGGGTGGCGGACCCGCCCTAAACCCCCAAACCCTAAACCCCTAAACCCTAAACCAGGGGACCAGAGACCATGCAGAGGACCAGGGCTTGAGGACCAGGGACCAGGGCCCTCCAGCCCCCTCAAGCCTCAACCCTCATCCCTCAACCGGTTATGGTTTTGGATTTAGGGTTTAGGGGCTTGGGGTTTAGGGGTTTGGGGTTTAGGGTTTAGGGTCTCAACCAGAAGATCAGGCACCACAGAGGACCAGGGAACCAAGAGGACCAGGGGCCTAGGCCGACCCTACCAAGTTGCAAGTGCTACTGTAAATCCCAGCATTTGCTCCTGTTTTGCATCTAGCTATTGGGGCAGGGACCAGGGGACCGAAGACCAGGAGAGCAGACCAGGGGCCTAGGCCAACCGTACCAAGGGCCCCAGACCGGAGCCAACGCTGGGAAGCAAAAAACCCGGACCCCCCGATGAACCCTAAGCGACATGTAAACCCCAATCCCCAGACCTAGCACCCTGTTAGGAGAGAACAACCAGTGAGTAAGCCCGAACCGCAAACACTGAGACCGGATTCAACCCCCTATCAAACTTTGGTGAAGATAGATAGATAGATAGATAAATAGATAAATGGATAGATAGATAGATAGATAGATAGATAGATAGAGAGAGAGAGATAGATAGAGAGAGAGAGAGAGATAGATAGATAGATAGATAGATAGATAGATAGATAGATAGATAGAGAGAGATAGATAGAGAGAGAGAGAGAGATAGAGAGAGAGAGAGAGA